GTCCGCTACCTCATAAGCCATGTTGCGTGTCACGGGGTTTACGCGAAAAACCTCAACCATTTACGCACAATTGGTAAGATTTGCTTACTGAAAGCTCTAGCACCCTTGTCGCGCGGTTGTAAGTCGTGAAAGCGGCACTTCTGCATTAATTGTGGGCAACATTCTACCCACGGAGTGGACTTCCACACACCTCATCTGGGGTTATTGCTCTAGGTCACTTTTTTTCAAAAAAAGAAAAATTCAAGTCAGTGATTGTTTTAACCTCACCAGTCCCAATTTAGTCAATGCTAAATCTCTGTTTGGACCGATCCATGGGTTCTCAATCTTACGTTAGTCCTGTTTCCAGATATTGTGGAGGAGTTGGCGACAAAACGTGACAAAAAGCAATTGCAATTCGCATATATTGGTCTCACTGAGAAGATGGGAACCACCGATTTTATATGGACGGATGGCAGTGCGGTGGACTACACGAGATGGAGGCCTGATCAACCCGAAATATTGCCCAATAATGAGCGGAGATGTGCAAACGTCAGTTTTCCGCCATAGTAGTTTATTCAGCATCCTCACATACTCCGTAAATCCAATCCAATCTTATCCCAATCCAATCCCACGCTTCAAGTGGGATGGGGGTTGATACTATAAGGAACATTAATAGCAGTCGATTTATACAGTTCGTGCCATCGCCGTAGAGGCATCATACTGCATAACTGCTTATGGGGTGACTTTCAATGGCTGATACAGAACAAAACGGGGAATTTCAGGGTTGCAAATCGGATGGGTAGCCAAGAAAAAGGAAGAAAAAGGAGTGATTTCGAAGCATCAACCAAAAGCTTTTTCATTAGGCTTTGCTAAGGCGGTGAGACACTGAGCGCACAAAGAGGGTATAGGCGAGAGAGCATGACGTGCGAGAGGGCGCAGACCTGCCGCACTCTCGAGCGCAAGAATTCGCAAGTTGACAGCTCGATCCTTCCAACTGAAGGAATTGTAATCCAGAACTCATCATAGGGTCCCTTTCTAAGGGAATAGAGGGCCCACGATTCAGAGCAAAATAGGGTCACTGTTCATTTCTTCTAGTTTTGTTCTCTCGTGGATTTCAGAAGATCAATAATCAGCTCTGAGTTACTTCATATAGAATATGATTTAATGATTTTCAGATACTTGTGTACAGTAGGGGCTACAAGCACCGTGATGACAACAAGGGATGGACGGCCTATGGTTGCGAAACGA